AGAAAGAAAGAAAGAAAAAAAGAAAGAAAAAGAAGTGTGTATTAAAAAGAAGCCCGTTGGATTAATGTTGGGTGAGAGAGGTGTGACTTTAATGTGTTAAATGAAGTTGATTTAATAAAACGAAACAAGGGGTGGTGACAAAAGCTGATGGTTCGTTGGATTAGTGTGTGTATGTGTGTGTCCTATTTATGAAAAGGCACCGCTTCTCCTAATTAAAAACCATGACTGGAAGCCATTTGGTGGCGTGCCACAAAATCTGGTATTTGGTGGTTGGCCATCTGTATTTTCAGCCGTATTTAGTGTTACCCATCTGTTTTTATGTTGCCTTTTGAAGTTGGATCTTAGTGTAACATTGAAGTTGTTTCACTTTGATATGAAATCTCGATTAAAGCACAATATATGATTTTTCTATATCCGAAAATAAACCTGTGTAAATGTAACTAAAAATTTGACTCGTCCAACGTTATTACAATGACGCAATTCTCGTGCACAGATCTTTAACATGTTAAATTTTTTATTTTTTATTTTGGTACTTCTTATTTGTGTAACCTTTAACAAAAAAAATAATAAATAACGGTTAAATGCAAAAAAGTCCCTTACTATATAAAAATTGTGCAAAAAAACACTACTATTAAAAGAAAAAAAAATGCACATAACTCTCTTATTATTCATCTTTTGAGCAAATTGTCTCCTAATGAATAAATCTGATGAAAAATAGTCATTGATGATGTCATTTTTTTTTCTAAAAATCCAAAAGTTCCCTTTTTGTGTAAAAAGAAGGCCTTAATTTTGTATATATTTAAACAGTGAATGGGTTTATTTGGATGTGCCTAAAAACCTATCCAAGAAAATCTTTCTCTTTAATATTATTTTTCTCTTTCTAAAATATTTTTATGTTGTCGTTTAGCAATTTGTTTTCAAGAAGACATCATTTTTATTTTTTTATAATTCTATATTTTATTTGGTATGTAAATTGAGATTGTGGCATTTGTACATCATCTTTAATTTTTTTTTAAATTTTTTTAGAATATTATTTATTTCAATATATATATATAAACATAATCCTTCTTGCAAATATTCTTCTCTAATTCTATAACTTCTATATATTTTCCTTTCATTCTTAGAAGTTACCTTCTACTCCGTATAAGACAATATAATCTCTCTCTAATTTTTTTTTTTTTTTTCTCTCTTAAAGAAATTCTATTAATTATGTTTAGTATTTTGTTAATTAATTAATAAAATATCAAAGTAACATGAGAAATCAATATCTCATTCTTGCAGGCTTTCGAGTATGGGGTTATTCCTGGTTTGGCTTTAAGCGCTATTGATCTCCCAAGATCTTCTAATATTGCTTTTAGTACTCTGAAACAGCATCTAGTGTTTCTCCCCACAGCACAATATGACGAGAACTAACAAATTCAATGAATTACCATACTTTATAAGAAAAAAAAATTAATTAAATAAAAAATATTCAATTAGCATATTTGCCAGAAGATTGCGCCACACAAATGCTGAGCAAGATTCTACATAGCTGAGATATATGAAAAATTAGTTGTTTTAGAGTCAATTAAAAAATTGTAGAGTATTGCAGAGAGAATTGAAAGATATGAAGTAAATTGAATGATATGTGAGATTTTAGAAAATTTTGTAATGTTTTAGATATTTTTGTAAGAGTTTAGAATGTAAATAAGACGTCTATATAAAGAGAGGTGTCATCATAACTTTCAACATCTTGTAGCTGATTCCTATTAGTAAATAACTAAATATATAAAGTTTTTAACTTAAAATTTTGAAATATATTTGAGAAATAGGTTTGCAGAGTATTTGGTTGGATATAAATGGAATTTCAAATTTTGAAAAAAAATGTAATAATTGTGGGAGCTTTAATTTCAATTTTAAGCCAAACTCAAAATCTAGTTTTGGTCGGAATATAGTGTAAATTTTATTTTAAAATATTAAATAAAATATAAAAATTCAAATATCTTTGAAAAGGGTTTATACATATTATAATAGTGACCCATTTTTGTATTCTCTATTTTGTAAATATGCCATTACTCCAAATAGAAAAACTTCAGTGTTTAAAAGAAAATAATAATAATATATATAACTAAACATTAATTCAAATTGCGAATATCAATAACCAAGAATGGACAATTAACAAGATCATTGGTTGGTGAAGAGTGACCCAATTTATGTATCACTTACTAAACATTCTTTTGTACCAGAAAATTACATTCTTTTGTACTACAAAATTAATAAGACAGATAACCCTACACTTTAATGCCCCGTTGGGTAAGAAGAAAAAATTTTGAATAAAAGGAAGGGGAGAAGGAATGAATGAGGCATTCCTAAGAAAGAAATTGTATATATATATATTTTTTTTAATTGGATAGAAGAGAATAAAATAAACTCATAATTTACTATGTAAGATAGAAGGAAGGAAAATGTTTTAATTATTTTTACCATTATATCTAATAATATTTATAACATTTTATGAAGGATAATAGTGTAATTTAAAACTTGTATAGTTTAGGATAGTATTTAATTTAAAATTTTTATAATAGTCTACTTGTCTTTCCTCATTTCTTCCACTTATTTTTTGACCGATAAAAATTTGTAAATAAGGAATGATCTAAGTCACATAGAAAAGGAGCGGGAGTGAGAGCGAATTCAAGAGCATAAATGCGAAAGCGGCAAAATTAAGTAAAAAATAGTGAGAATTTGAGCAAAAACGCGCACTGAGAGGGAGAACGCTCAGAACATGAGAGCGATACCTGTTGAAAAGGATTGTGTGACTTAGGGAAGTTTCTTTGTGAATCATCCTTCATATTATCCTTTCTTTTCTTGTATTATCTCTACCGAATAAAGAAAGTTCCTTCATTCCTTCCTATTTTCTCTCTACATCTCTTCTTTCCTTCTTACCGAACACAACATAAGTCACATAAGGCGAGGCGGGAGCGCGAAAATGACAAAATCTAAAATTTGGTCAGCGCAGTAGGGGCCTACACTTATATAATATTATGTGTATATAAAATAAATTAAAAAATGTATTTAAACTATAAATAACCTTATTTCTTTTGTATTAAAAGATATATAATATTAATTTTAATTAAAATACAAAATTTACATCGTATTTTTTTTTTTATATAAAGAATTACGACTTGAAAAATTCATCTATTTATTCTAGATTCTTAAAAAGAGAAGAGATTGTTTAATTTTTCATACATGAAATGATTACTTTAAATAGTTATAAAATAATAAACATCTTAACTAATAAAAGTAAAACTTAAAGTATCTATATATTTTGTTTGCAAATATATACTATATGTATATTTATACAATGTACACACATCTAATATTTTTAGACTTAAATAAGAAAACAAAAATGAGCAATACGGTTATGATATGTAATTCTTTTTAACAATGTAGATTTATTATTCAAATTTTAAACCTTTTTTATTTAGTATTAAGCATATTTTGTCATTGCCATTAATAATAAATGTCCCGTGTAGTTTTTCATAATTCAATGAATGAGAAATCATTGTGAATTCGAGAATTCATAAATTAAATTCGTGAATTGAAAAGATTGAATTTGCAAATTATAAAAGGATTTGCTCTCATAGCAACAATTCGAACGTGAAGCGCAAGAGGAACACCACTTTAGAAGGATTGTGTGAGTTATCTACACCACTAAAGTCCGCCTCCCCAAAGGGGTAAAATAAATACAAAATAGATAGAACTTGAAGAAAATAAATCTGATGGTAGAGGGTCATATCCCACGTTGGATGAGAAAGTGGGGGTATGTATGAGGTTTTGTCCCATCCGAATGATAATAGTATATATATAGGTTGGATGTTAGCGGGAGCAAATCCTTTGATGTACAATTGCCACGAAGTTCCCTATGTTTGTTTTACTTAGCTAATATTTGGCCACGTGGGTTTTTACTAATGCTCAATAATTAATATCACATATCAATCTAAGTGTTGCTATTTAAAGTTAAATTTTACTAAAAAAATTATAGCAACCAAAAATACACTTCCATATGTTAAAGAGTTTCATCTCAAGATTAAAGTGACTTGGGCTAACTTTAGATAACAAATAAAATATTCGATGATTTCCAAAATAATGAAAAAAGCAATAGACATTTTTTATTTTTATTTTTTTATTTTTATTTTTATTTTTTTGGGTCCAAGTATTAAAAAAGCATACATTTAGTTATTATCTAAAAGTGAATCATGGAGTTCTTTAATAGAATTTTTAAAGAGTTCCTATTACTTTTGGACCAATGAGTTAACGAAAAAATCATGACAAAGTTTGGTATTAATAGGTTGAATTGAATTAAATTAGTTAATCCGCACTATGTGAATACCTTCCTTTGAAAGCGAAGGTGGTGAATAAGCAAAAGATAATTAATACCAAACTTTGTCAAGTTTTGTTTTGATATTCTAATGGTACCAAAGTAACAAGAAACTCTATTCAATGTATGTTTTTTTTAATACTTGAAAAAAAAATGTCATGGCTCTTTTAATTATTTTGGGGATAACTATTTTATTTGTTGTAAAGTTAACCAGGGACGGATCCAGGATATAAGATAAGTAGGGGCAAAAATGAATTTTGAGGGGCAATAGTGTATTTTTTTCATAATTTTAGTGGGGGCAAATGTAATATTTCATGGATATATTACTAAAAATGACTAAATTATAAAGATAAAATAGTAAAAAATTAAAAATTCAGTGGAATCAATTGCCCCCACACCCTTGGCTGTAGATCCGTCCCTGAATTTAACCCAAGTGACTTTAATCTTGAGATAAAACTCTTTAAATTAATATATGAAATTATTTTTTTGGTTGCTATATTTTTTTTTTAAATAACATAAATAATAAATTGAATCGAGTTTGAATCGAGTTAGATTGATATGTGATATTAGTTATCCAACACTTTGTAAATTCCTTTTTTTGGGGGTGAATACAGTAAAAAGTAAGTCAATATTGTGATATTAGTTATTGAACTCCATGTAAATCCCTTTTTTTTAGGGTGAATATAATAAAAAATAGTAAGTCAACATTGTAATTGCCGCATCCAGAAACAAAGACCCGGATGTTAGCACCACAAAGCTTTTAAGTTTTTGAATCTAACCGCAGAGCATCCCGACCCGTTACAACTGCCAACACAATGGTCAAGGAAAGGGGCCATCCGTCACTCCATGCTTACAATTCCATATTTCATGACAAATGCGCAGAATATTCTTGGGAAATTACATTTTAAACATGCTTAAACCGATAGTAAACAGGTTGGGTGGTATTCATGTTGATCCCCTACATTTAATTAATAAGTCAAATAGACTTAAATTTTGCAGATGAAACACGAACACAATACATTTAATTAGCATGTGCCAATTCGAATAAAAACTATTACGACTCTTAAACACAATTAAACAAAATTCAAATATACGTGTGCAAGTCATTTACCGTGTTCAGTTAAGTAAAACAAAATTCAAACTATTACTACCCTAGTGATTGAAAATTTCCTAAAGAACATAACCAAAAAGACAAATCCTTGAGGCCTTCACCAGAATCCTAATAATCAGATTTCGACAAAGAATTTTATCATGAAATTCAGATTGCTAAATGCTTGTAATATTTCCCTTTCGACATCTAAGAAGTTCTATCCTAAACAAAAATTCGATCAACATGCATTTGGAATCTCAATGACAACGGCAAAAAAACCGTCCACCTAGCAACCAAGAAGTCAGTAAAGGGAGAGGAAGATAAACAGGTTTAGTGTTTATCTATATATATATTAAGGAAACTAAATCACCAACGTTTAAATGACTTCCCAATCACCAAAAAAAGAAGACATTCATCAATTGAACAAGTCCAATACACTACTGAACACCTGTTAAATAAATGTCCTTGCAAATATTAATTCATAATATTCAAGTACAAGCAAAAGCTGAAAACGGAAAAGAAAGGACATTGTTGATCAAAAAGATTACCGAACAAAAATTCAGTAAGAAGCAACAATTATAATCCATAACAGATACCTCGGAACTTTCTATTCTGCCTCTTCCCATTGCTACCAAGTTGATATATTTGAAATCCTGGAATTTTAGGATACAATTATCAGTTCACCAAATGAATAAAAAAAATAGAGTGAAGCATCAAATCATGTGAAAGGGGAAAAGGTGACACCGGATGGAGCAAGTAAACTCAAACCTACAATATACATCATGAGAGGGCTGCCACAGTCGAGATCAACCAAGTGGTTATTATAATTTACTTGAAATAAGATCACTAGTTAAAATTCCGAAATCAACCGGGGTGTATTTGGAATTAAGACCATTTTATTGTGGTTTCTCAATTTGTGAGAACATGCAACTCCATAGTATTAACAGTATGAAAAACCATTATGGATCAAGATAACAAAGATACTAGTTTCAATAAGATATTCCACATCAACAAAGAAGCTGCAAGCAAATATATGTTGAATAACAGTTATTAAAACGAATGGCCGCTTGTTTAATTCTTGAAAATGATGGCAATAGTTCTGATTGAAAGTTATACAAAATTCCTAAACAAGACCATGGGTGAAATGCATGCCATCATATAAACCATGTATCGAAAAAGTGTGTTTGCAAATAACACAAGCCATAATGGAAACCAGGTTTAACTTTTAATCTAGCTTAAATATTTTACTCAAATACAAATGAGTAATCTAGCTTAAATATTTTACTCAAATACAAATGAGTATAAATTTCAGGCGAAAGTTCAAGTTTCCATGCAGAAAAGTTTAAAATCAGTGAGTTTCAAAAAATAATAAAAATCAAAATCAGTTCAAGACCTGAAGCTTTCTCCTTCTTTATCTTTTGGTTGAACATTGTCAAAAATAACTAGTGATCACTGTTCACATTGCAACATATAGTATGGCCAATTTTGATAGTAGGTGCATTATTGGACAATTCATGCTCATGTCCCTTACATTAAATCAAGATGAAGAGGAACAACAACTTGCATAGACAATTTGAAAACAAATGGTCAAAAAGTGTTTCAGTAAAAAAAAAACCAATTGCAGATCTTAATCAAAACTCTAACTACGTAAATACATGAAAAACTAAAAAAAGCATGAATGGGCGAAATCCGTATCATGTCATAGGGAAAAATAGACATGCAACACCTGTGTTGACAATGTAACATCCATTGTGATATTTTTTTATTTTTTTATTTTTTTTTTTTAGATAAGTAAGATTTCATTAAAGACACTCTAAAGGGAAGCACAACAAAGTGTGTGTGTGTGTGTGTGTGTGTGTGTGTTTGTTGTGTGTGTCAGTGAGAGACAGAGAGAGAGAAAGAGAGTTATGCAATGAAAGAGCGACTAAAAACCCTTCTACTCAACTTATAATTGGTCACATTCTGTTTCTCATTTTTATCTTTTGTTTTGATAAGTAATTATGTTTCTGCATTTGAACTAATTTATTATTAAGATCAAATATTAGTTCTCTCTAAAAGCTAAATATGCTTCAAATGTTGAATGATTATCTAATTTACCAATAAAATATTATGTTATATATTTGAAGCATATTGTCATGGTGCTTCGCAATTCGACTCAAAAGCTGCCAACTCCCTCAACCTTATATGCCCAAGACCCTCCCCATCCAGATCAATTGTGGGACAAGAATCATGACAATATGCTTCAAATTTTGAGGGAGTTACTAGCCTGCAACTACTAACATGCCCAATCATACAGCCCTAAAAATAGCCATGGTGCTCAACTGCTTGCCCAGGCCCTTTCACAGCACAGCTTACAGCCAGTCAAAACTCCTCAAATATTCAATCTTGTATAGTTAACAGCATAGAGTAATAAACTCAATCCACTAGCTCCTGTCCCCACTATTTAGCTTGTTTATCAATGTTCTTATGAAAAACAATTTAAATTATGGATGGGTAATATCAAATATGTGAACTCAAGTTGCAAGACCATAGTCATTCACAAAATATAACCAAATCTTAACAAAATAGAAGGGCATACATTACCATAATTAAAGTATATATAAAAAAAAATACATTACCAAATTTAATAAAATTGATGTCTAGAAGACTAGGAGTACGTCGCAAAAAATATAATGTAAGTAGGCATTCAAATAAGTTATCAAACAAAATAGTATGCATTCAAATATATGGTATGGATAATTATGAAAAAAATATATACATATGGTATGGATATAGAACACCACATATTTACACATATACATACACATGATAACATGGAGGCACACCATAACTAGGGTACACATAAAAGAGCAACCTGATACTATATTACTACATTGTGGCACGCAGCACACTGTTTACCAAGATATGGAACCAAACCTATCCCACTACACAAATGCTTCTTGTTGAACACATCTAGGCCCCTAAAAAAACTCCAGTCTCGTAACATCAAAGCTAAAGCGTTTTTTTATTAAAACTCGTGTACACTATACAAATGCTTGTGTCTCACTAAAAACGAATAGTTTGCGAATATTGTTGAAGTAGAAGATATAATGACAAACGGAGGTCAGCACATAGTTGATAAACAAATACGCCTATGTAGTTGATAAACACGCCAATGCCCTAAAAACAGAGATATCAAGCGAAAGCTAAAAGTGCCTCAACCTACCCCAGGCAAGGCCACTTCCATCAGAGGCATATAAACCCTCAAACACAAACTTCCAGTAGGCTCAAAGCAAAGAAAGAACGTGCCATTATTTTTTAACAATTTAATCATATCATATAGCTTCTTTTCTCTCTTTTATTTTTTCTCGTGGTCTCTTTTATTTTTACCCTATTTGGCTTTTTTATTTTTGATATTCTACGATTATGATTAGCTACTCCATCAAAATTGTCAAGTGCTTAATCTTATATATCTATTTTAATAGGGTAAAGTGCAAAAAAAAACCCTAAACTATACTCTCCCCCTAAAAAAAACCCCTGAACTTCTATTTTTGCAGTTAACCCCCAGAACTATCAAAAAATTTGCACAAATTACCCACCGGCAAGGTCCGTTCAGTTCTTCCCAGTAAATACGCGTGTGATAACCACACGCCATAGCAATAATTCCAAAATGACAAAACTGTCCTTATTACATTTAAAAACTATTATGACAAAAATAAGCCTATTAGATCCTGACATCTCATAAGGATAAATGTCCATTAATGTAATTTTGAAAGGAAAAAAAAAACCCAAAATCCCCTAACCCACTTCGTATTCCCCTTCCTCTCTCTGTGCGCGATGCCGCAACTCCACCCGCCTTCTCTCTCTCAATTTCACCACCGCCGCGTCCTCAGCCACCGCCGCGACTTCACCACCGTTGTGAACCTGATTTCGTCGTCACCGAGACAGCCACCCCGCTGTGAATCTGCCAATCTCCATCTCAGGCAGCGTCTCCATCTCCGATGCCGTGCTCTAACCCTGAACTTCGACCAGCCATAACTTCAGCTATGGTTGAAATATCAGCAAGGAGCCGTAGAATATGGAGTTTTGGTGGCGGTGGCGGTGGAGATGGTGGTGGTGGTTTGGGATGGAGGATGGTGGTGGTGGCGCCACAAGTGTCAGTTGTGGTTCATTCTCGGATATACCGAGTTGGTGGTCGTTGTGGGGTCAGGATGGTGGTGGCAACACCGATTGTGGTGATGTCGGTGGTGGTTCTCTGGCTGGAATACAGTGGCAATGGTGGTTTGGGGTAGAGACGATGGTGGGTCATTCGCCGGAATACAAATGGTGGTGGTGGTGGCGGTGACGGTTATGGTGATCGGGATGGCAGTGCGGTGGCGGCTGGTTGGTTGCTGGTTGTTGTAGTTATGTTGCCGTCGCTGGTCACTGGTTGTTGTCGTGAAGTTGCTGGTTGTTGTCGTGAAGTTGCCCTCACTGGTGGTTGTAGTTGCCATCACTGGTCAATGGTAAGGGAGTGTTTGTTGCTGAAATGAGTACTGTTGGGGAAAGGTCATGTTTGGCGCTGAAATTAGGTGGGTGATAAGGCGCTGATAAGTTGATGTTTTGTCAAATTTTTACTAGTTATTGAGATTTCTTTTGACACATCAGCAATAGTTTAGGGGAGCAATGCTCAATTCAGGAGGGTTTCGTGCAATTGCCTAATAGTTTAGGGGGGTTTTATTGCACTTTACCCATTTTAATATAATATATGTCTGCATAAAATTTAAATGACCAACATTTTATTGTTTCACATTTTTAAGCAATCTAGTAAATCCAATGCATATTTACATTTAGCTGACCCTCTTAGTTCTAATATACCAAAAATTCATCAACAAAGAAGTTATGAATAGTTCCATCGCATATTTTGAATTGTGTATTGATAACTAAATGCACTGCTTTAGCCAATCCATAGTTATGAAAGAATCAAGGCGCACTAAGGCACCAAGGTCTCCTGGAGCCTAAGCAGTATGCAAGGCACAAGCCTGATTGAAGCAAGGCAATTATCTGATAAAAAGGAATATTAAATATAATTTAGGGAAACAAATATTAAAATGCAACACAAGATAGTTAATATAAACATGTTAGAAAAGAAATTCAACATATCAATTCAATGGATTAGGTAAATTAACATCCATGGAGATCTTTTCAATTTGCATATTAATTAAATTAATAATGATGTAAAAAAAAAAAAAAAAAGGTTATACAATCAGGTAAATTAATGTGCATATTTGATGCAAATATTATATGCATTTTTTTTTGGTAAGTAAATTTTATTGAAAAACTGCTCAAAAGGGGAGCGAGACCCAAGAACAAAATAACAAGGCCAAAACGCCTCAAGCCTTCAAAGAGGCCAAAAAAACAACCAACTCCTCAACATATCAATAATCCCTCCCTGAAATCCAACAAAAAAGAGTGAAAATAAAATTTGTGCAACAATTGGAAAAAAAGTGAAAATAATGTAGATTTTAAACATATATTATATTATCATAACGATTCAGAATCAACCACTAGGCACAATTAGTGTAAGTAGTCAACAATAAGGGGGGATCTTTGCCTTCAAATATAGACAACACTTACCCTAAGTGGTCAAATAGTTTTAATTCACAATATCAACTCACATAACGATAATTACCACAAGGTATCGGAAGTGTTGGTCAATGTGTAATTACAATCAATTAAATTATAGTAGCTGTAATTTTTTAATCACTAGCATGGACCTTAAGCAATAAGACCAAGTCAAAGGTAAGTGTTTATATATGTGTGTCGGTGTTATTTCTTGAAATTCACATCAAGACAATTGTAAAAGAAAAAAGAAATTAAATAATAAACAAAGGTAAGGGGATCCTAACTGGGGAAAGGTATTTCCAATAAACAAAGATTAAAACGATAATTTAATGAAGGTTAAACAATAGCTAGATTAGTCACCTGACACCTTCTGAAATCACTTATTTACCCCTTTAAAAATTTTCTTACCAGAGAACTATACCCTTCCACTATATATATATATATATAAATATTCACCTCATTCTTTCTCTCTCCCTAAAATTCTCACCAATTTCTCTCATCTTCCATTGCATTACTAACAATTCAACCACCATATAAATGATACACACAAACACACACACAATACATATAATGGACAATCACTTCTCTCCTAGCAATTGAATGAACCATCTCTGATATTAGTGTTAGTGTTAATTTTCGCAAACATAACAACCTAGTGTAACAACGGCTAACTCAGGAATCGTCAGGGTCCTATTATTTATTACCAATTCAACATTACAAGGATTGAAAGGTAACAATATATCTCAATTATACGGCAACAACAATACTAAAACAGATCCTTGTCTATGTCAATATCACACAAGCCACAAAGTAAAATTTCAGTTCCAAGCCATTCTCAGAATTAGATCCATTTGAAAAAATTTGCAAGCTCATTGTGCACATCATCACTTGCATAGGTCTCAACACATTAGACAATTCATCCATATTTGAAACTAATAGTCTTCAACCCTGAAGCATATTGAATTTAACCAACAGAAAGAAAGACATTGTAGGAAAAACTAGACAGAAAATCATACTCAGCACAGCAGTCATTATCCTTCAAGCCTCGGCTTTAATCTCTTTGGCCTCCACCTCACTTGTAGCTGCATTTGCTTCCCCACCATCCTCATTCTCTGCAGGTGGCTGCACCTGTTCATCCTCTGGCAGTGGTTCCTCCACATAATCATTCTCAAATGCATCAGCTGGAACCTCATAAATCCTCACTTGTGGCTTTGACGGATCCTTCACAAGCACATACTTCCCCTCATTCAATTTCATGCACAAGTCCACAATAGACTTCACAATACCCCACATATTCGAAGTGTTCAAATTGATTTGTGCCGCAAAGTCCCTCGGCTTATATCCAACCACAGCCAATATAACATGGTTAAAATGATCACGAGGATGAACCCTAGAAACATAACCCAACTTCATCATATCGGCACTCGCCAACAGAGACTGAGCAGTCCACTTAGCCAATTTGTTAGCATTGTTCTTCAACTCGGTCGCCAAAACCGCACCTCTCTGAGTCTCCAACTTCTGCCTCCAATCAACACCAGAGTACTTGGGATCAAACTCATTAAGGGCATTCAAAGTAAGAAACGACCTCTTTTCGTTAACCTCAACAACACTCTGAACCTCACACCGAGCCACAAGATACATTTCATCATCAAGCTTCCACCTTCTGTACCTATACCCAACAGGGGCAACCTCTTCGCCCTCATTCGCGAATGGGTTCGGCTCTTCGAAGGTCACCTTATTCCCATCCCTAATAAGAACCTGCTGAGAGAAATTCTGGTTAATATAAGCAGCCTCAACACTCAATGAATGCGCGGAATTGATATCATCCTTGGCTTCAGGCAACGGTTCTTGGGATGTTTCATGAACAGAAAGCAAATCTAGCTGTGACCCATCTCGTTTATCAAAGAACAATTTGTTCCCAACTCGCTGAATCACAATATCCCAAGAGTACACTGACCTCGGAGCGCACATCAGAGTCGAGAGAATTGAATCGGTGGCGAAAACCGTGGCCTTGTCCTCGTTGGCGAGTCGGCGGATAACAGGGTCGTCGGTGGTGGTGACCTTGAAAAAATTTCGATTCTTGAACCGCTCGAGACGTCGCTCGTTCCTCGGCGTGACCCGATCGTAGGATCGGTCGTAGAACTCGAGCCCGCCGCAGAGTAGGAGATCCTCCGGTTCGGGGACGGAGAAGGAGAGCTTGGTGAACGTCGAGAAAGGTATCTGGTCGAGCATGTTCCACTCCGGCTGAATATCGACGGAGGATTTGAAGGCGGCGGCCTCGCGGCGCGGCGCGTTGCCGCCGGAGCGGTTGAGGTGGTAGAGGCGATCGCGGCGAGCGCGCTCCTTCTCAGCCTCGCGCTTCCTGGCCTCGACCTCCTCGTCGCGGCGTTGGGGGAGCTGGTTGCGCTGCTGCTGGAACCGCCATTTGGGGCCGAACTTGGGGCGCGGCGGAGGCTTGCCGTCGACGAGGCGGAAGGAGGAGTCCTCGTCGGCGGCGACGGCGCCGAGGGTGTCATCACCGGTGAAGTCGAAGACGGAGTCGGCGGCGTTCCGGGGGTTGTTTTGGTTGCGGTTCGGGTTGTAGTTTCGGGTCCAGTCGGCGATTCTGCCGAGCTTGTCGGAGCGAGAGAATGGGGCGAAAGGGACGTTGACGGGGTGGTTGGAGAGGAGAGGGGAGGAGGTTTCCGGTGGACCCCAGCCCTCTGAGTTGAACGGCACAGCACCTACTTCGAAACCCACCATCGTGAACAACCCTAGCTCAGAGAAATCTAGAGAAAGACGATGAAGGAGAGTAGAGAGAGAAGATGAACAAAAAACCCTAGCTCAGCTACTTCAGATTTTGATAGAGAACGCAAAAAACCCTAGTTCAGCTACAACAGATTTTGATAGAGAGTGTTTGGGATTCTGGATTGGGATTCCTATGCTATCTTGGATCTAGAAGTTCAATTTTTTATGGGCTTTAAGTCCAGTAGTTATAAATACAAATATAGCCCATTGTCATGCAAGCATTTTTTGTTCATTATTTTATATACGGAAATTTTTATATATTGGAGATTCATCATTTTATTTTAAGGAAATTTTTATCAAAGATTTTTATAATTATTAATTTAGTTTTCCTGCAGCCTTATTATTTATTTTATTTTTATTTCCTTCTTGTATTCTGTGTTCGATTATTGTCTTATTGTTTTGTTATCCCTTGGCTTTCAGGTGTGGGCATAGCCAACCTACACGTGAAAATTTGAGGGTATCACATCATCAGAGCGGTTCCACAAATGTTCAATCAAATCTTTCTTTAACCGAGCATTTACCTCTTTGTTGCAAATCTGGGACTGGCGAGCGTATATTTGTGCCGCTAAAATCGATGGTTGTTGACTAAAAGTGAGAATCGAGATTGTATCCTCCAATAGTGGAGTCCATATTTCTAAATTGATGTGCCACTCATCTTCGACAATCACGTTAATTGTGAAGGATAATGCACGTTTTCATTATAATGCATAAATCTTCTTTCTTCCAAAATTTGATTGGTCCTTGTGTGATTGCCCACTTGATCTGTAAAATCCCTAAAACTCGTTCCACATCCTTCCTATTGGCCTCTTGCTTTTTAGCAAATAATATTTCTTTCGTAGTGGTTGGGTACCGGATGCTCTGCATCAAAGTTTTCCACTTAGGGTATATACCATCAGCCAGGTAATACCCCATTCAATATGCATGCCCATTCACCAGAAAATTAACCGGAGGCAATTGACCATTGATGATACTATTAAATATAAGGGAGTGATTAAACACATTTATATCATTGTGTGAACCAGTCATTCCAAATAATGCATGCCACATCCACAAATCTTTTGAAACAACCACTTCCAATATGAGATTAGCCCTACAAGAGTGTCCCTTATGCATGTTATGCCACTCCACTGGGCAATTCTTCCACTCCCAGTGCATATAGTCGATAGAACCTAACATACCCAAGAATCCTCTAACCTCCCCTTCTTAGAGCAGTTGTGCTATGTCAACTTCATTGGGTGCACGCATGTACTCATCTCCATACACAACAACAATAACATTACAAAATGCCTTCAAGGTTTGAATGCCAATGCTCTCACTGATTTTAATATATTCATCGCAGTGATCGACTGCATAATCATATGCGAGTATACGAACAACAGTTGTTATCTTTTGTATAGAAGATAACTCCAAACGACCCGTTACATCCCTTTTTTGGACAAAGAAATCAACATAAGCTTTAGCCCGATTCAAGATATGAATACATAGTTCTCGCCGCGTCCTGAATCGTCTGTGAAAGTACTCGGTGGATATATGCAATTCTCGACAAAGTAGTCTTTCGTTAGCTGGCGATGGCTTCCCTCCTAGACACGATAAATGTACCGTTTCTTATGGACTTGAAAGACTTCCTCTACTATCTTTGGCCCATACAATGCAAAAGTTGCTGAGCATAATCGCGATTCCATTGAATCAACGCATCAATAGTGTCATTTGATGAGGTGGATGATTCAGAAGATGACGAATTTGAGTCTAGCAAAGGAAAAGTTTGCGATGACGAAGTCATTGGAATTTTGAGATTGAATGAGATGGATACTTTTATTTTATTACAATGAAAGAGATGAATGTAGTGATGATTCTCAAATAATAAGCAAATTAGTTATTAAAGAAGTTTTATATATATATATATATATATAAAACTTCTTTAATAATATATATATATATATTACTAATAAAATATTATTTTTAGAGAGCAAAAATTCGAAGAGGCTACTAGAGTGCAAAAATTTGTAGAGCAGGACCTATCTACGTGGCTCTTGAAAAAGCTGACGTGGCTCCTTGAAAAGCTGACGTGGCTAATTTAGAAAGCAAAATTTTAGAAAGGCTGCTGCAGATGGCCTTACAGAGTCCAATTTTTCTTCTTGAACATTATTTATATATGGATTAGATTCGAACTAGATCGTAATTAAACAATTGTTTAATTTATTGGACGAACTAGAATAAGCTTATGTGCCTGGTTTTCGACTCAATTGCAACCGTACACACGATGCATTGACTTAAATATTTTATATGGATGATTTTAATTGGTATGTTTATAAATATACATACAGTAGTGTTCAACTACTCATTGATGAGTAAGACCAATATACTCATTTTTAATATTAGCTTTTGAATCTCACTCAATGCATGTAGCAATAATTGTGTTAAACATAAAATGAGAAAAATGCACAACAAAATTAAAGAAAAAAACTTTTAAAAAAAAATCAATTTGGTGTAGCAATAAACATATAAGGTATGGAACAAGAACACTATATATATATATATATATATATATATATATATATATATATATATAAAACCATGTGCGATGCACGTAATCAAAGGTTATTTTATAATTTTAATTAAAAATTATAGAGAATTATCAAAATAAATTTTATTTTTAAATAATTAATTAGAAACTTGTTTGAGTAATTCCAATTTTAAATATTAATGAAATCAAATGTATTGTTTCCTCTTTTTTTTTTCTTTTTTTTTTTTTTTTGCATATTCATGAATCATGAGCAACAAATAGTATTCTAGGAGTAAAGATTAAAATTGAAGGAGTTACAAATTTTTACTTAAATAATTATTAACCATGATATAAGTACTAATTTTAGATAAATATTAAAATCATAATTTTAAACCATTAGTCATAATTGTAAATCATAATAGGTCAACAATATAAAATAGTAAAAGATAAAAAGTAAAACTTATTAAGTATTAGGTTTGCATATGCAGAACTTATATCCTAAAAATTATTTCAACTAAGTGTATAAAATAGTTCTAACTACTTTTTATACTTTGGGTGTGAAGCTTTAATAAATTTTTTATTTTTTTGCTTGGACAAGGTAGCTCCAGCGGAGTTCTTATCACAACATAAGTTTAGCAATTGAGTGATATTGGTGATGATAATTTAAACCTACCATTTGTGAATGTTGAATCGTGAATAGCTGAAAAAATGGAATATGAGACAAATATTGTGAAAAAATCACAAATACAATTGAATTTGTGACTTTGTGTACTTTGATTCTTACATATAAAATCTAATTAGGATAGTATGATTCATTTCTTTGGTTAGGAGAGAATTCGATTTCAAAAATAATTATTGATTAAAATTTTCATATAAACTATAAATACATCAAATTAAAAAAAAAAAAAAAAGTTCCGACACAAAAAATTTGAAGAATATTGAAAAGAAATATATTGATTTTAGTGAATCATAGTTTATTTAGTGAGAGATTAAACTTGTAACAGTATAAAATAAATTTTCTTTTTGGATTAAATTAAGTAAAATCATATAGAACAAATAAAAACTCGTGTCACAGTTTAAAAATCTATATTTCCTTTTGAGTAAAGTAAGTTTATACTAATTCCTTGATGAATGGAAAAATCAATGAGAAAAAAAAATTTGAGAGATACCTAATATTTGAGACATGATTTATAGTCAAAAGAGTCTACGGAAGAAATTGAATATATTATTTGATCAAACCTGATGGTCCTGAGTACATAAATGATATGCCATATTGGTGGAAGGAATTATCTTATTTAAGAAGAGTTTGTCTTTTAGTGGAATTTGGGTTAAATTAATAGTTAAAAAATAAATAAATATTAGTTATCTTATTTAATTCATATAGAAATTATAATAGATGAAGAAATAGGTTGTTAGAAAAGTAAATCGTTATTAGAGAAGAAAATTGATAGGAAACAAAGAAAATTAGTAGGAAATTTTTAGAGAATGAAAATAAAAGTTTCGGTTGAAAGAATTATCTTGTTTAAGAGTTAAAAACTCATTATAATTAGTTATATTTGTATAGTAATAGTATAGATTTATTTTAGTTAGACTTTGCTTATTGATATTTTATTAAATTAATTATAAATCAATGATTTGAAATTTTATAACCCCTTATGTTGTGTTTGATGTGCAGGAATTGAATTGAATGGAATGTCCATTCTAACCAGTCCATTGTTTGGTATGCAATTTAAAGTGGGAATGGCCATTACATTGGAATGAAAATTCATTCCACAACTAAACCTATAGAATGGCCATTCCATTCTCACGTAATTTTTTTTTAAAAATCAACTTCCCAAAAAACTTTCGTGTTTCAAGTCTAAAAACAACAATTACCTTTCACCACAACCACCTCCGCCTTTCACCACCACTACCGCCGCTTTGCACCACCGTCGCCGCTGCCATCGACTTTTACCATTACCCACTACTTTCCACAATAGCCACCGACATTGCCACTGCCTTACACCACCACCACCGTCTTACACTACCACCACCATAACCTCTATCGCCTTTCACCATCGCCGCTATTACCACCGCTGCCATCACCTTCCACCACCGCCACCACCTTCCACCACCGCTGCCGCCTTTCACCATATATAGCCACCGCCTTCTACCGCTACCTTCTTCCATCACCACTACTACCTTCCACCACCGCCACCGCCTTACACCACCACCACCACCATCGCGACCATCGCCTTCCACTACCACCTTTCACCAACCACCGCTGCCACCGTATTCCACCACTTTGCCCCACCACCACTGCCATCGCCTTTTATCAGAGGTTGAGCCAAGATTATATGGTTGGGGGGGCCGAACTTACAATTAATATAAGACTATTTTAAGCCATATATATATATATATATATATATATATATATATAGATATATTCAAGAGCGGATCCAGAATTGCAGAATGGGGTGAGCTAATCTATTATGGGGTGAGCTAATAATACTAAAACCCTTTTTTTTTTTTTTTGGTTGGGCTAAAATTACCTCTAGTAAAAAAATAAATAAAAAATAAAAATTTGGGTGGGCTCAAGCCCACCAGAGCCCATATTATCGATTATAGTCATACAAAAATTTATCAAACCAACCGTT